TTCAACAACCTGTGTTCTCAAAGCATTTTTGAGGTGGTGACTTTGAAACAGAGCTCAAAAGCATGTGGGATTTCTGAGGGGAAATTTCTAAGGGATTTCAGCTTTTTATCCTTTTGAAATAGATGAAATGTTCCACACACTTCATTCTGCGTGGGTTCTTCCTAATGAGAACTTCAGAAAGGGTGTGTTGGGCATTTGGGTCCTCTGCTGGCATTTTAATTTATCTTGTTGCTCTTTGTACCTTGCAGTGACAATCATTGGAGCACATTGTTTTCAGTCTTCCCCTTACTCTAGAAGTAGCTATATGTCAGCATTCTTCTGTTTATGTAGTTCTATAAAGTACTTTGCAACCTCTGTGTAGATTAAGAGTATTAACAGCAACAACAGAGGCTCTTCTTACTTGTTACTTTCATCAAATCTCTTGAATAATGGCTTAATTCCTAGTTATGTGAAGTCTTAACCTAGGCTTCGTGCAAGTACTATACATACTGTTATTTTATCCCAGTACATTTTGAATACAAGCTATATCGGAGATATTAAACAGTACTTTAACTGTAATGGTCTATTGAATTTGTGCTTCCTGGAGCGTCAATTCTATCCTTACTGAAGGGTAATCTCTTTGTTTTGTCAATCTGTCATCAATTCATGAACACTGTAGGGTGTACATGCAACCTGATGTTCAAGGAATTATATATGCAGCTCTCATTATTGTTTGTTGTTCAGAAAACAGCTTTTAATGACTAAAGCTGTGTGTGAGCTGTTGCTTAACTCTTAATGGCTAAAGCATTTGCCAGAACTGTCATTGCCCTTCTTTGCTCTTCATGAACGCTTAGAGATGTCTTGAATAAGATGATTAACTACATTGTAAACAATTTTTCGTCAGTGTTAATTGTGCTGCTAAGTCCTTAGATGATATGTTAAAAATAATTCAAAAGTCAGTGTCCCATCACAAATGTATTTTTGTGCTTAAAAGAAGGCCTGATGTCTAGTTGTGGGCACAGTTGCTTATAAAAGCTTTAGTTTGTCATGAACCTTGCATTTACGTGCACAGAATGAATACTTGTGTTATCTGTACACACATAACCACCTTTATGCTCCTTCCTTGCCATCTCTTCTGTATGATCATTGTATATTATGGCAGGGGGCCTTAGGAGTTCTTGATGGATATTTGCTGTATAAGAAAAGCCTTTACAAAACAACACAGAAGTCCTGCTTGGCACATCTGAGTCATTTTTAAAAATTATATAGGGTTGTAGAGTTTCACAAATGGAAAAATAATAGCCTTGTTCTTCCCCCACAAATGTGCACACATAGCCCTACCTATAATGTTTGCTAATTGGATTAAGTATTAGTTCCGTTGTGTACTTGGACTGTGCAAGCAGCTTGTAAATTATGGAGTAAAAATGTGTGGCCTGTAAATACCTCGTAACAAGTAATGCTCGCGCATCCTGGACTATAGCGATAAAAATGGTGGTGATTTCATGAGTTATCAGCATTCCTGAGCTCACAAGAGAGGTTTACAGGCCTGTGTTTCCTGCCTTTGAGGTATGTACGTGTCATCCTCTCCCAAGAGCAGGGGGTTTTGTTTAAGTGAATGCCAGTGACGCAGTTTTATATCTCAGTAAAATAATGGTCCCAGGTTATAACTGACATCTTTCACCCTGCAGATTTCCTGATTGCTTTTCTAAAAACTGTAATTCCCTAATCCTGCAAATGCAACCGTATTGGCAGAAAAATACATTGCAAGATGGAGTGGAAGAAAGGAGTAGCTTTAACTCAAGGTTAAGTGAACACAAGTGCCGTGAGATCCCTGCTATCCACAAGAGCATCTGTGAAACCTTGCATGATAAAGGCTAGTTTTGTGGTGAAGCAAGGTGTTAGAAAGCCAGGGAACTTTTGCCTTCTGTCTCAGTTATCCAGGGGGGCTAGCAACATGTTTTTATTCTCTGCCTGCCATTTCCACCTCTGAAGTGAAGATAATGCTCCTTATTCTGTTCCATCTATTTGCAGAACAAGCTCTGTAGAGTGAGGGATATCTCTTTCAAGACCAGGTCTGTACTTCAAAGTTGTGCTGGTATCACTGCATGGGGAGCTGGGGTTGTGAAAAATTAATCCTCCCTCTTAGAAATCATGTGGTTAAACTTCTCTCGAGCAAGGATACTAACCTAGTGTCTTTCCATCCCTGTACTGCTATGAAAATGAATATTCAGTTGCAAACATGGAAGGCAGCCATTTGCATTCTTTCAAATCAAAATATAATCACATCGTCCTGATTTCAAAGACACTCTCTCTCAGCGAATCTCATTAATTATCTCAGACAGGTGTTTTCAACAAAAGCTCCTACTTGTGCTGTCTCTTCTTCTCTAGCCTCCTGCTCGAGCTAATGAAGCTTCAGTGGTGTCTCGGGAACAATGGAGCAATTTATATAACTACAGGTTAGGAGAGAACAAATAAGGAATTGTAATTGAGGAAGGGTGCTGAAGAGAGGCTGTGGGAGCAAAGTCCTTCTATGTGTATAAAGAGAGATATCATTATTGGTGATTAGGGAGGAAGCATTACAGAGCCAAAAAGAAGTAGCTGTGCTGAAAAATGTTCTTTGATAGTTTATTGATATGCAGACGCTGCCCTATGAAAGGGCCAGAGACCTCCTTATTGCAGCCTTTACGTCCTTTAGTTAATGGAGTGCGGGTTTGTGTTAAGAGAAAGGAACTGGCATTACCTGCAAACATGACTTATGATAAGTTACTTAGCCTGTTTCTTTAAAAAGCTTCTGGGTACAATTTACAGCTGCATGAACATCGTCTGCTAATGCTCCATGCATAAATTAGATACTTCTCTCTGGAAATAGCTGTTTTCTTCCTCTGTGCCTATGTACTTCTGCAAATATCTGATGCGTATTCTTAATTAGAGCAAGTCTTCTTTCATGTTTTTTGAAAACAGTACCTGCCTGTTCAGTTTTTGGTCTCTAAGATAAAAATGGGAGGTTTTTTTTCTTAGGGGTATGGTAACTAAATATAGGTATCTGATACAGTGTGTATGTATAGGTGTTTTGCTGTCCCAGTTGACAAGAAGCCCTGCCTTGTCCTATGGTAATATTTTTCACAGTTCGTAATCGATTATACCTAGGAGGTCCCTAGTGCCTGCCTTTTCCAAATGCGTATAGACATTTATATTCTGGACACTAATAGTCATCAGCTGCTTTGAAACTTCAGACTAGTTCATAGCATTTTCAGTGTGGAAACCAGGCTCAGACGTGACCACAGATACAGGCATAAGTAGCTTTTTTTCACTTGGCGAAGCGGGAACTCTTATTTCAGGAAGGGGTATAAGTATCTTCCCTGCAAAGTCTACCAAATGAATAAAATCACTTTCAACAAAGTTTCTGTAATTCTCAGAAGTCACCTTTTAGAATCATAGGATATGGACAGAAAGAGTTCCCTTCCCCATTCAAAATCATGACTGGAGTACATTTTTATTCAGAAAATGTTTTTATTTCTATCCTTAAGCAAGGGCTGTTCTTGTTGAAAAGAAACGTGATTATTGAATTTGGCTTATTCACATCCTTCTAGAAAAAACAGGCAGAAGGAAATCTCTCTGAAAAAGTCCGGCTACAACAGATAGAAAACATACATTAACCAGAAATCACATGCTTGCTTCCCAGCAGAGCAAGGCTGTGGTCTTGAAGACAGCATTGCTGGGGGATTCCTCTAGTTCTGCAAAACACCTCTCTGTTGCACATGCATTAAGTGGATTTGATCGGGCTTACTGTGCCAAAGGTGTAGAACTGCTCTGAATACACAGATCAACTGTGTGTGTACAGTAACTGCTTTTCCAGTCTCCTAGCTGGCCAGAAATACAGGGATACTTACTACATCCTGTATGTTTTTATCGCATAGCCAGATCCCATATCCTAAATACAGTACTTTCTGTATTAATATGAGCAATCTAAAAAAGACTTAGTGTTAACTGGCAAGTCTTGTAGACCTTTCAAAACGGTTCAGGGGCCTATGCCCTAAGACGATTAACAGCTGCAGCAAGGTCAACTAGAAAGTCCTTCCTATTTTCCAGGAAATCATGTTAACCAAACAGCAGAAAAATGGAATTTGTTTCTGACAAATTCATAAGATCGTATATCTCCTGTGGTCAGAGATCTAGCGCTTTAAGGAGGATTTTGCTGATAGTGTTACGTGAAATTTACTTCCTCCTACACTGTTGCAAAGCCTGTGCTTGAATTTTTCAAATAGTGTGGCACTTGCTACAGAATTCCTTTAGCAGAAGTTTACAAGTGCCTAGGGAGAGAGGTGGATGAACAATACTCTGGATGCCCACTCAGGGCAAAAAAACTGTAATGCTTGCGTTCATGCTACACCATTGTGCTTGCCAACAACACGACTGCTTTCATAAACATTATTTAATTATGCACGTAATGTATTTTGAAAAAGAACAATATTGTATACGGTTCTGATCACCTTATAAAGGAACCAATGCATTTGCATTTTCCTGTACTTTGTTTTGATATTTTTAGCTTTCATACTCAAAAAGAATTGATTTTGAAGGTCAGAGGAAAGAGCAAGAAGATACTTTTGACCTTTCCTTAAAAGTAAATGAAAATTTTCTTTACTGAATTGTTGGTGTTCCAGTGCCTAAAGAATAGATGTTGATACTTTGCTGAATGGGGGTTGACGTAGCAGAACTCTTAAACACAGGAGATCAGCATCTGTCACCTCTGGGGCAGTAAGCCCCTACCACAGTCTATTAAATAATGGGTAATTTAAGTCCAGGCTTCCAGTGTTGTGAGTCTTGCATGCTCTATCTGCACCTGCAGACATCTCAGCTCTGCAGTATTTTTTTTTTTCCTCTCTTTGATAGTGACTACAGTGTGTATTGAACAAACATTTCACGCTTCTTCTTGCTTCATAGAATTCAAAATCCAAACCTTAATCTTTGCTAATCCACAAAAAGAATATTAACGTCTTTCAGAGGAATTAATCAAGCAAGAATGTGTTTAGTCATTGAAACATTTATTGCCGAGCATGCATACATGTGTGGATACAAGCATGGGCATATATACGTATACAGCCTCTCATATAAGATGAGATAATATGCTACGAAGCATTCTAGAAGTTCGCCAAGTCGTGTTTCCCTAGAAACTGGTTTAGAGGGAAATGACGCTTTACTTGTATCTTATTTGAGAATTTATATTAATTCTGGGACTATTTTTTTTCTCATCTTGACAATTCACAATGATACAATTAAAACATTACCTCTGTCAATGTGATGGGGACATCATTGGTTTCTCTTGTTTCCTTTTCCCAGTGTCCGTGATTTTTCAATCCTCATTTTATCATGCAGGAATAAAAGCTGTGATTGTAAATCTCACTGTTCCTGTTTGGAAATGAATTGAACGGCTCCTTCTGCCCATAGGCAGGTCAGAGACAACAAGGGAAAATGGAAGGAGCCCAACCGGGTGCTTTGCGCTATAATTGTATTCAGTTTTGTTAAATTACATAACTGGTATCTATTTTGACTTAAAGGTTTCCAGAGAAAGCTATTCTACTAACAGATGTAAGGACTAAGCTCTCAATAGTGAGTTACAGCATCATGCTAGTCTTGATGGTGGCAGATGGCACATGCTCAATGTTTATTTGCAAGTAGGCTGAAGACTGATGGGCAGAAATTGGGGTATTAGATGGATGTGTGCTCTACAAGTGCAAAAGATGTTCTTTTGTGTCATGTAGGGGCAAGAAAGAAGTGGTACAGGAGCAAGCGTTGTGGGCATAACTTAAGGAGCTGAATAAAGCTTTCTGGATAAAGGTGCCCCTTTGAATGAGGGAAGACCACATGAAATGGGGCCTACTTCTATTTTGCAACCCATTTAATATAATTTTAGTAGATGGTTGGCCTCTACTGTACTTCAGCAACCTTCCACTGACCCATGGAAGATCATATAGGATGGTCTCTTCTTTTAAGCTTAAAAGAAAATAACAAAATCCTTTTTCTGGACAATGAGAACGTGGAGAAGGTAACCTCTATTTATTTACTACCTAATACCAGGTAGTAAAAAGAGACAATAATCCTTCCACTCTTTTCCTTTGGTATATGCAACTGCTAGCCTTTCTATAATCAGACTAAATAATCGAGTAGTCCTACCTCTCTTTCTGAACAAATGAAGAGGAACACAACTGGGAACAAGTAACTTGTTCATATTATTAATTTGTCTTTTTTTAGGCAGACCAGTGGATTTTTTGAGTCACAGGAAGAGTTCGTTCTAAGATGTGTGAAACATGCTTTGCAAAAGAACTAGTCTTGGAAAGAATTAAGTGGTATGCTTTCACCATGGACTTAACTGTGCTGTCAGGACCTTGCTAATCAGTGGTAAGAGAAATCCAGCTGTTTGAGGAGCTTATTTGGGGATTTGTGTTTGTTTTCCAAATGCGTAGGCTTTAATTGTGTCCTCAGACAAATCTGTAGGTGTTCTGGTTTTCAATTGGATTTGTAATTTCCAACAATGCCCTGTTTACCATGAAGTATTTAGCAAGCTTTATGTAAAAATACTTTATTGAGGTTCTCAGAGGCTAGTAGACACAAGGAAAGGTACGAGCAGGCTCAACAATGTGCATACCAGCTATTCTTAGAACACTTATTTCAAAGGATGTGTTTTAAGTCATATATAATGGTCTGACTGAGTACGTTACAAGACTGAAATGTCATATACACTGAAGAAGACATCATTTAAAACCTGACTTCAGATGACAGTATTGATCTACTCAGCAAGTATCACTGGAATAGAGTTCAATAGTATTGTTTCTTTTATTCCTACCAACAGCCAAGAAACAATTTGCTTACAACAGCTAAGTGTAATTGGCAATCACATAAGCTTTTGGGGACTACTTTACAGTATTTGGATTTCTATTTGTAAACGTAGTTTTCAAACTTAATGATTTTGAGCTCCCCTGTACAATACTGTTAGATACGAGCCTTTGCCATGGCAACTAATTATGTATTTTTATTACAGTAGCACTGAATATTGTTAACAGAGATTGAGAGTTAGTTTTTTGTTTTATGATCGTACTACCTTTGTTCCCACAGAGATTATAGACTAAACAGGCGAATATGAAGTGTGAGATGGGAAGCAGAGACAAAATGCCCAAAGTCTCACATTCAGACTGAGGATAGAACCCTAGCCTCTTGAATCTGGTGAAACTAGATCAACTAGAAACTAGATTCAACTAGTCTTTGTGAAACTAACTGACTGCTTAAAAGAAAAATAATTTGATGCCTGTGTTACTTGGATCAGCTAGATTACAGTCTCTGTTTTTTTTCCACAGGAAGCATGCAAGAGATTTGGAGCTTGCAAAAATTAAGAGGTCTGCAACTAACTTGAAAAGCAGAATGCAAACTTCACTTCTCCTAGCGCCTTTTATTCTACCACACATTGCCAAAAGAGCATTTTTAAGATCTTGCAGAAGATATTTAAAGATACCTTTGGGTTGTCAGGAGAGAGACTACACGGGGAACCTGACATCTTTCACGCAGGCACAACAGCTGTGTTTTTCCGGTCTGGCTGGACTCCCAGCATCTGTGAAAACCAATGACCATGCTTGCTCTCGCTGGGCATCTCCAGTCTGAAAGTCACTCATGTTGCATTGCTCTTCTCCATCTGTATAGTACATTGCAAAGCCTGCAAACAGCTGACAGTCTAGATGGGGAAAGGCAGACAAGTCCATTATGGGACCACGCTTGAGGAAGGATGCTTGAAAGAGGAGAGGTAAGCTTTCCAAAGGAGGTGAGTTTGATAAGAATACATAGAAGAAGAGACAGGAACCATTGGCAAGGAGCATAGGGAATTGCTCCCATGGGGAGTGTGGGCGTTGGCTGATGTGTGGTTGTCTGCGAAAGAAATTGTATCAGTTTTGAAGCAAGGATGAGGGAATGCCAACAGGGAGCTTGAGGATGCTGGGTTCTCCTAAGTCTGGCTGTAGACTCCTTGGGGCAAAGATTTGCCCCCTTTTGGCGGGGGGGAGGACACCTACTGTGCCATCTGCAATGGGAATCTAGATTATGGCTGTAGTTGTGGTAGCCAAAATGACAAATGAGGTGGTTTTTTCCTTGAAAAAAGTTTGAAATTCTGCATCATCACAGATGTGTAATATTTACACAGATGTGTAATACCCTCCCATTTGCAAAAATATCTGATTTGAAAGTAGGTAAACTGTAGTTCAATCCAATGTTTTTAGGTTAAATGTTTGTATTTGTTAGCTTTTATATTTTTAGTTGTTATTTTTGTTTGTTTTAACAAAATGCTGGTGCCACTCTGGCTGACTAGGTGGCAGCAGAGCTCTTTTGTGGCACCTTATAGTAGAGGACACAGATTTTGGGACCGTGGTTAATGTCAAAAAACTCACCCCTTTCTTTTGCGTGTTTTTGTTGTTGATGGACTGGAAGAAAGTAATACCGGTCTCCTCTGCTGCCTTCCTCACATCTGCCCAGACCAGTGCCCCCAGATTCTTTCAAGGAAGCAAACTACGATACTTTTCTGTAACACAGGTGAATTAAGAGAGGCTCTTCTCATCCATAAACAGGCCTGGGTTCACTTCCAACAGTTCTGAAGGGGATTGTGAGGTTGAATCTTTAGCTTCTTCGGACAGAGGAGTTTAATAAAAGCTCTTCTGAAGCTGTAGTGACAAAGAGGGTATAGGACAGGGTTGACAGCAGAGTTGATCCACAACAGCCAAAAGGAAGTCTCATACCAGTAATCAGAGATGCAGCGGCCATGGCAGCCGGCACGGATGATCATGAGGAGAGTGTACGGTGCCCAGCAAATCCCAAAAATGCCCACAATGATTGCCAGTGACTTGGCCACTTTCTTGTCTCTAGAGAGCCTGAAGTGTTGAGTCATGCTCTGGGAGACTATCTTCATTCGTTTCTCTAAGGACAGAGTAGATGCTGTATTTTTACAGCTCTTCTTGTGGTAATACTTTGGTTTTTCAGAGCTTTCTGAGCTTGTTGTCAGCACATCTTTTGCGCTCAGCCTGGCAGTGGAGGCTGCTTGTTGTGCTTTGCTCTTAGAGAAGCCGAGGGTTTCAGCTGGCTCCTTCTGCTCCCACTTACAGCATTTCAAAGAAAGCTTTGCTTCTGGGCTCGTTTCCATCTCTTCAGTGAAGGACTGGTTGCATACTTTGTGGAAAACATCCAGGCGTATTTTGGTACGCTTCTGTATGTTCAGGTAAATGCTCAGGTTGAAAAACAAGACACTGATGAAAGGGGTGAAAAACTCCAGCGTAGAGGCTGTCATGAGAAAATACCAGTTGTAAAAAAATTCAGCGTAGCATTCCCCAGTGGGTATGATACTCTGGCCTGATATGTACTCCCAGCTGATAATGGCAGGGGCATAGAGCAGGAAT